GAATAAACCGTCTTAGTGAAAAAAAAAAGATTATTTTATAAACAACTACCTAAGTGATTTAAAAAATCAATTAGTAATCTTCAATACATTTTAGATTCGTTTCGTTGTCAAATTATAAGACCACAAGTCAAACAATAAAAATACTAGACTAAAAAAAAACTAGAAAAAGAAAGAAATAAAAGAGAAAAAGAGAGAGAGAAATAGGGAAAGATAGAAGAAGGTGGGAGAGAGAAAGATGGTAGACAATTTCAAGGAACTGTCAATCTCAAAATAGTTAGGGATTTAATGCATCTTTGAGTAAAGTTTTCTACTCACAGTGCCGCTTGAAGAATTATAGTCGATTATGGTAGTACCGATATTCCGTAAAGGTAAAGTACCATTTTGAAGCGAATGACATAATCGGCCGGCAAACGTAAACGTGCACGCGAGTGTTTGCACTCCTATTACGGCGAACTTCAAGTCAATCTTTCTTTCTTTTTCTCTCTCTCTCTCTCTCTTTCTCTTTCTCACTCTGTCGACACAGATTCAACGATAAGTCAGGTAATCGATTGTCCTCCTCGAAATTCCAAGATACAGATGCGAAAACGTCAGTTACTTCGCCGTGAGAACGTATCATTCAGAATTCAAGAAATCTCTTTTCTTGAGATTTCTTTTTCGATTTATGCTACCATAAACATTTAAAAAAAAAATAAAAACGGAGACAACTACGTAAATCAAAGTATTTTAAAATTTTTATATATTAACGTAGAATCATACCAATAAAAAAAAATAATCATTTGTTTGTGTTGCGTTAGTTAATTAAATTGTGAAATATTTATTGTTAAAAGAAAAACTAAAAAATGAAAGGAAGTAAAATAATAATCGTTCTTCGATTCAATGATAATAATAGGAAATGACATGTGAGAATCGTAATAAAATATAACTGTTCATTGACGTTTGTCGCTTTTCTTATAGACTAGAAAATGATTGAGTGAGTGTGAAAGAAACAGAGACCGAGAAATAAACAGAGAGAAAGTTAATTTATAATGTAACACAAACACGATCAAATCAAAATGATCATGTCGATAATTACGAATAATAAAGGTACGATTTTTAATTTTATCAATCGAAAATCAATATCGTCTATTTTTATTATCTTTTTTATAAAACATCATATTTTGTATTTTTTTTTTTTTTTACTTACCCAGACCAAATCCAACAACGTGAAGAAAAGCAGTGGTGTTTTGTTTTTCAGCTCTTGTATTAGCTTCGTATAGAAATATTCAACTTTTCGAAAAGTGATTTTTAATTGGTCACGTGACCCAACCTATCGAAGAAAAGAGACAAGTTCAATGCATTCTTACGCATACATCTTTGAACATTAATATTACAATATGTAAATATTTCAAGTTATTTCAATATTTTTCTTTCTGTGAAGTGAATTTCAAGATCGTCAGATTTTATTCTTCGAAATTACGTCAACTTCCTGATATTATTTGCGTGTGTAAGACACGCGATAGAAAATAAACCGCAATGAACAAACGAAGAAAATGTTCAGCGATAAAAAGTGCGTATTTTCTCTCTCTTTTTCACTGAATCGAATAATATTCAAAACGATTTTATTAATAATATAACAATACCGAAATATTTAGACAAAAATCTGACAAATAATATTCTTTATTTTTATCATAAATATTAAGGAATATTTAACATCGATACTTGATTTATTTTAATAAACAAAATAAACAAAATGAACATGTAAACATATCCCTATCGTTCTATTTTTATACTCGAATCACGTGTATTTACATTTCTTACTATAAAGTTATTTTCCATGTTACAAAATGGGCTGTTAAAACCGCGCGAACGAGAAAAAGAAAAACTACTTATTAGTAAGTTTATCTAGAAGATAAGATGAAAAACAATAGGACTGGGAAAATAATTAAGAAAACACGTGACCATGAATTTTGTGTAAACGAGGGAAAGAAAGAAAGAAAGAAACATTAAGAATTGATTCGATACGATAAGCAAACAAATTAGCTTTCTTCGTTGTGTAATCACTGACGATAACTAATAATAATCAGACGAGATTGTACGAGATCGAAAATAAGACATGAACAAGACACATAAAGAAACAGAAACAGATAGATAAAATAGAAGGGAAGAAAGTTAAATAGATAATATCATTTTTGTTTTTGCTTACCTTCATCTAGAAGCCGTTCTAGGTGTATGAAGACATTGGGCAAAGCAGCTAGCTGCTTTCTGTCCTTTAGTAACTGTGACAGGTAGTCCGCTATACTCTGCGTCGTCGTGTTAGTATTATCACACATCGCAGTTACTTGATTACTTCAATGGCGGGCGCACGAGAGCAGAAGAAAACGATAGAGACCGACGGCGGAAGAATGAGCGAGTGACTGACTGACTGACTAAGTGTGTAAGTGAGTGAGTGAGTGAGTCGTATATGTGTGTATATTGTCTGAGCAAAAGAGGGAGAGAGAGAGCAAGAGAAAGAATGAGTAAGAGAGCAAAAGAGAGCGCGCGCGCGCGCTCACGCCGGAGGGAAATGCGCGCGATCGAGAGAAAGAGAGAGACAGAAAACGATGGCGAACGCGACTCGAAAAAAGAACGTTGCTCTTCTCCACGACACTACTTTCGACTCCCTCTTCCACTACTATACTGCTACTTCTTCTTTTTATTCTTCTTCTACTTGTTCTTCTTTCTACTTGTTCGTTCACGTTCTCCTTCTACTTTCGTATTCCGCACGTTCACGTCACTCCGTCGTAGTCGTCGCGTCACCGTGTGCCTACGTATTATTATTATTCTTCTTCTACTTCTTCTTATTCTTTCTTCTCTCAGGGAGAAGATCCCGTTTCTCGTTAGCTTCGTTTATCTTCGATCCAACTCTTTCTTCTTCTTTTTCTTATTAGAATTTCATTGCCCGCGAATCGCCACGGTGCTGTTACGTTTTTAGAAACGATCAACCAACAGCAAAGGCGGCAGTAATACGTACATCGTGCGCGTGCGGGTGGTGGACGGAGAGTGAAAGAGAGAGAGGAATAGATAGAGATACGAAGAAGGGGGAAAGGGAGAGGGCGAGGCAATTGGAGAGAGAGAGAACGAAGGAGAAGGAGGAAAAATAGAAAAGAGAGAGGAGGAAGAAAGTAAGAAAGAGAGAAAGCGTGCGTGTGTGGTAAGGATAAGAGTAAGAGAGAATGGACCGGGGGGTTGTTGGTTGATTGTTATCCTCTACGAAAGAATTTCAAATAGACAGAGAGAACTCGCGATACGCGTTTATTTAGTTTATCTCTCTCTTTTTTTCCTTAATTGTTTCTCTCGCTCTCGATATATTGCAATTTAAATTCCACGAATGCAGCCGCGTGATCGTCGAGTAACATATACACACGCTACGAGACGCTCGACTCTACTGCACCGGCCGTGCGTGCGTCGTTCTAACCCAGGCCCGGTTCCCCCCCACTCCCACTACCCATCCGAATTCTCCGCTCGTGGACGCATGCGCAGAACATTCGTTCGCCGTTCGCCGCCCACTACCATATACGGCCTCTCCTCTCTACGTGCGCGCGTGCCTCTTCAACAGAGATACACATGGCGGTTGGATAATTCAGAACAGTATTAAACTCTTTACGTCGCCCTGGGCCTGTACTTACTATTAATATTTTTTACTCTGATCCATGCACTTTATTTTTTAATTTATCATATTGCTTTCAAAAGAAATAGTTACTTTTTTTAAGAATAAAATTTATATCTGAGATATTATATAGATTCCAAATATGTAATTGTAGTAGAATGAAGAAGAGGTGGCACTTGCATCGCTCCGATAGATGTGTGGATCGAACATACTGATATGAGAGATTTTCCAACGATAGTCTGCCGCCATGTTTGTTTACCGCGCGAAAATCAAATTAAATTTATCATCGATTTAATTTGCATATCGATTAAATTTTATACAGATATTTAAATTTTATTTATTTTAGATATGGTCGTATGATTCGATTCTTCTTATATTTATTTAGAGATTGCGTATAAGTAAATTATAATCGTTGGAATGTTCATTTTAAAAAGGTAAAATTTTAACGACTCTACAAAGAAATGAGATTTGTATGTACGTATAACTTATAGGTATTTACGTAGCACTTAAAAAATACTGATGTTTACGAATTAATGCGTGCGAGTGGTAAGTGTTTGGTGTAACAACATATCCTTGACGCCTATGTTTTATGATCCATAACATATCGTTACACTTAACATCACTAGGATAAGTGGGTCATGCTTGTTTCCTTTGAAAGAGAAGACACGTTGTAAATCTTAAGAATCGGGCGTGGGAAATAATATATTCGAATGTAAGTTCGAACCTAATCCATTTTTGGTATCTTCATTAAAAATATTATCTTAAAAACTGATCGTCGAATGAAAGAAAAAAGAAAATAAAAGATAAAACCAAAGAAAATGATATCTTGTCAACGACTTAGTATCTTGTTTAAAAACTCATTATACAAAAGAGACTATTGTAAAGAAATATTACAAAGGTAGTTAATAGTTGGTTCGTAAATCGTGTCGCGTCGAAAACACGTCACCTCAAACAGATATTTCTGAACTAATTCAGAAATAGCGGTTAATTACCTTTGTCTTTCATTTTATTATGGTCATACCGTTTGGTATGCACAGTAAACGTAAACCTAATTATGTACTTTAAGAATTACATAAAAGCGTTTTCCTAGCTATTTCTATTGCAAATTCGTATCATTGAAATTGGAATATTAGTCACAAATAATTTTATTTAAAAAATATTAGATGTAGCGATTGATTTGATGCTATGATATTAAATTCATTGCATTAACATTACAATTTTTTTTCTTTAAGAAATTCGGTAATTATCTAATAGATGGACCAAAATCATGTAATATAATGGAGACTATTTCGAAGAATAACAGATGTATATAATTACTTTATAAATGAATACTAAATTTGTTAAAAAAGAGATCAAACTAATTGCTACATTTAATACATCATTAAATTTATTATTTAATTAATTAGAAAAATCAAGGTTCTTTTATAAAATAAAATGAAAAAATAATTGAAAGAATTATAGACACAAGATAGAAATAATGAATGGATAAAGACAAATAGATACAATACAGCAGAGATGTTGAATATTTTCTCATAGAACGTAACTGCCCCTCCTATCTCGAAACGATACATTGCATCAACGAATCGACGTCGTTACAATCTCAGAGTGGCATATGCCTCGGAATGCATAATTAATAATTCTACCTACTTGCTTTCAATCTACCTTCATGTGTCGCATCTAAAGCAGATAATATTGAACCTCAGCATCTCTCGAGAGTAAACGGATATCAAAGATAAAAGGAACATCGCCTTCTTCATTCCTTTTCGTCACGTATGTAATACGTACATGCTTGATATATTCTTCGTATCTCCTTGTAATGAACAGTAATTAGTTATATTCAGTGTTGTTAATAATCACGTAGTAGCTTTATCGATATCAATCAACGTTGTACGTGGCTTTTAATAAAATGCGCGCGCGTCGAGTTACATTTATTATTCATAATAAATTGAATTATTTATATCTTTATTCTACAGGGTGAGATAAAAATTTTTGACTTATTTTTCAAAATTAAATTATTTCTTTTTTTTTACGATAATTTTTTCTTCATATTGTACCAACTACGGAAAGTTTAGGAATTTTTGGTACACCCAATTAATATATTTAAATCTTTTTATAGTATTGAATTCCTTTTTTAAGGAAAGTTTTTTGAATGTAATATTGTAGTAGTAAAGTGTTGAGAGAGAGAGAGAGAAGGACAGGAAAAAGTAGTCCATACTTGAAAAGTTTACTGTTAGATCGGTTGACGCAGAATACTTGGCTTGTACCTTTAAAAGGAATGAAAATACTGATCGTCGATCTTCGAAAGTACGCGTGGGTGTATTTTGGTGTCGATCTTTGGCGGATACTGAAGAAAAAGTTTCTATATATCTGTGTATATAACCAAACGCAGTAATATATAGGAAAGGACTTTCACGAGGACACTTGAAACTTTCCTCGAGTGAAAACCGTTCTCTCGTTGAGAGTTATTTCGTATTTACTAATTGTATACAACTACCTTTGCTACCAATTCTGTTTCCTTGCATTATCAATAAAAGTATAATATTAAATATTAATTTATTTTCTTTCATAAAAAAAAAATCTTAAATTTTCGATATGAAGACAATGTGATATGAAATTTACAGGGATTTATTTCGTTGTATAAGGTGTTTAGTGTTTTCATGTAGGGAACATAAATTAATCTTTCAACGTGCCTGAAAACAATACATTTTTTAAGATGATATTCGTATAAAATAAAAATATATCCGGTGGTGGATTCGATCCCACGATATCAGGAACACGAGACTACACCGCTACTCGTTATTCTATCAAAACAAAACCATAATTAAATATAAGAATTTATGTGAAATTTCTACCCCCATTTTTTGCAAATAATTGACCACAATCAATTTTTAAACGATGCAATGTATATTCGTCATGAACTCCTACAAGTGTGCAAAGTTTGATAAAAATCAGAGGTTGCACATGATTGCCGTGCCCTTGTAAGACGATCATTCAACTTCTAATTATCGCATTATTTCCAATAAAGAATTATATATACCAATTAAATACAATCTTCGATACCGATATATCTTAATTGCTTGTTTTTTTCTAAGATAGATAAAACGAATCTCATTAGAAACGACTCAATTGTTTAATTATTATCAATAAAAAATTATAAACGAATTAGATATGACCTTAGAAAATAATAATTACTTTGAATGCTATTTAATTATTTCTTATTTTGATTATTTTCTTGAAAGATCAATAAATACGAATCTGTTTAGAAAAGATTTAATTATTTGATTGTTACTAATAAAAAATAATATACAAGTTTAAAATGTGATCTTAAAAAACTTTTATAATTTTTTTTTTATTGATGAAACAAAAGTAATTTGAAATAATCGAGAATCGATGGTGGACCGATTCCGGAGGCTGTGCTGTCGCCTTACCGTTCTCCCACGGACGTTACCTTCTATGCAGTGTACCAAGCGCCTACACAAGTATATTGGTTAATGTAAGTAACGTTGACGTCACATATCCATACATGGCCCCATCGCGGTATCACGTGGGTGTCCGGCGTTATAAATTATTTCTCCTTTTTTTTCTGTATTTCTTTTTATTATTTTTTTATTATTATTTGTCTACCTTCTTCCTTCCAATAGGGGTTTTATCTCTTACTCTTTAAATTGAATGACATATTCTATTTTGTCATAGCTTCGAGGGGTAGACCTTTTACCAATTTTGTTTTCAATCTATCTCGAAAACTTTTTCAATCGACCCACCTTAACATGAAAAATTTATTTACTATATAATAATGATAATAGTAATAATATGAAAAATAAAATATATGAACACGTGGATCTCCAATTTTATTCTTTAATTATTGATCGGTGAATTTAATTTATTCAATTAAAGGTAATTAAAATAACGTGTTGATCAACGAGCAAAAGAACACAATTATTTTGACCTTGAATCGTAAATTAATTGTTCCACATATTTTCTTCGTCGAATATAATTTATTTTTCTTTTATTAAAATAAATATTACTAGAGATCTGAAGTATTTATTTATTTATTGTTTATATATTAATATATTGTAAATATATAATAAAATATAAAATAACAAAATTCCAGATATAATGAAACAATATAGATTTTTCTTTTTCTTTTGTAAAAAATATTTTCCAGCTGAAATTGATGCACAATTAAAAAAATAAAAATTTAAAGGGCTGATTAATAAAAATTAGCAATCTTTGCTAACGAAAATTGGTTTCTTCCTACTTGTTCTCCTCGATCCTGTATAATTAAATCTCCTCGAGGAATCCTTAATTTATCCACTACATTTATTCTACGAGATAACTAATTACCATTTCCTTTTTAAGGGTGAAGAAAGTTTTCATTTGTGGTCATCTCAAACAGAGAAACCCACTTTTACCGATTAAGGCGAAGAGCAACATATTTTATTAACTTAAGAATTAATATCTTTAATTTATTACATTAAAATATCGTACAATAAATCTTACGATCTTGTTCGCCTAACACGCAACAACGAGTAGACACATCATTTGTTTTTTGTAACAATAACATTGTACTATTACACATGTCATTTTTAAAAAAACATTAATTAGTTCTAATCATTCATACCAGCAGTATAAGAAAAATTGTATAATATTATAAACAAATAATTAAAAGTGAAAGTTAATTTTATGATGAACAAAATTGTAGAAAAAAAAGACAAAAAATATTGAAACTGTACAAGAAAGATAAAATAAACTTTTTTGCACTAGCTTGGATCGCGTTACCATTTATAGAGAATGTCTAGTAGGTGATACATTGTAATAAAAGACAAATTGGAAATAATGAAGTACCTACACCTGTAGGTATAATTTAACGCTTCCAAAGGAAACTTCGTACGGTTGATTTGGAGCTTAAAAAGACTTGTGAACCAAAAAGAATATATCTATACATATAAAAGTTATCTGGAGAATTGTCGGTTGTCCTTTCCCCGTTTACCCACCTGGCGGTAGGTCTTGGTACGTTGCAACTGTCGTGAAGCATTTGGATTATTCATGTTCTTGAATGAGCCATAACCGCCTCCGCCAAGCCTTTTCCGTGGCCGCGAATCTTTGCTAGCTCCTACTTCTGTAAATTATCATAACGTTAAGGAAACTGAACAGGCATTTTATTGCTAAATGATTAATTAAAATTCCTTTTTAAAACAAGTGGAAAGTTCATTTGGAAACTTTGAGCTTGTTGTATGTACCGTAGATTATAATACAAATTTTTTCTTATTAATTTATCACAATATTCGTATAATTAAATCACATTGTCTTATACGAATTGTGCAGTAAATTAACTTTTCATTTAGATCTTACATGACCGAAAAATATATCAAATATACAGTTTGAATGGATAAATTATGTTATTTATAAAATCATACTTAAGTCAACAGCTGGTGGAACAACAAATCCAAAAGATGTGGCAACTTTAGCCAAATCCAATGTCTGAACATCGAAAATCTGTTTGAGATGATGCGAATCGTATGCTCTAACATACGCCTTGTACGCTTCCTTCGCTGATATGTTTAAGAAGTAGTTCTTAGAAATCAATTTCTCCAGCTGAAAGAGATAGTATATAAATCATATGATCAAGTTTAGAATGATAGAAAGTTAGAAGCCAAGTTCGTAAAAAAACGAACTCGTCATTAATATTTAAAACAATCTAATTAATATAGTACAAATACATTTTACAAAATAATATGTATTAGTTCGTTGATTTATAAATAAGCCAATTAAAAAAATTTTACGTTAAAAAAAGAAAGTTAGACAAAATGTAATATATTACACCGGATACATCGTTCGTTTTATATTGTCTCGTAAAATATAACTACAGTTAAATTTACTGCTCGTTATGAGAAACTCACTTCAAGTAAGATAATAAAGAAAAGAAAGTTACTCTATGTATTTTTAACTTCTGAAGAAATGACCAAAAAAAAAAATCAGAAAGAAATGGAACTAAAGTGAAGATATTCAAGATTCGAGGAGTATCTCGCAGTATTTCGAAATCAAATCTTTCAACATTAATTTCCAAGTGCGAACGAAGCGTCCACATGGTTCCTGAATTGATTTCGAATAAGCGAGTGGTACATGAAGTGAGAGAAGGGGGATGGAAAGAGGGGAATGAAATGGGAGTGGTGCGTGAATCACGCGTGTGGGCGCCACTTCTCACGTTTCTACCACAGAAGTCCTTCCTCCCCCACTCCACATTAAAACTTCTCTTTCCTCTCCTTAAACCATCTCCCTCCACTTTTCATCCAAACGAGTAATAGTGCAGTAAAACTGTGCGAGTACAATAAAGAGGAAAAATAAGGCGGAGGTCGTGCTCCACACAACTTGGAAAAATTTTAAGAGAGAGAGAGAAAGACTGAGAGAGATAAATGCAATGGAATAAAACGAGATGAGAATAAGAGACAAGAAATAACATTATTGCGACTTGTATACTCCTTGTAAACACGAACGATTCGACGCACTTCCGTACTACGTCTGTTGCACTTTCACGCGGCAACTACGACGACCATAATTGCATCTCGTGTGATATATCTTACGCTAGCTTTCGAATAATAATAATACCATTTAGATTTTCATTATTCTTACTATGAGGTTAACACATAACGATTACGTGTTCTTAAATTACAATCTTTAGCTAGATTGGTATTTAAAAATAATAGTTTCTTGCGCGATGGAAAGCAATTTTCAAATATTCTAAAAGAAAATATGAATTATTAGATATTTTTATAATTAAAAAATACCTGCAATTGTATGTCTGCAATTTTATTCCATGAAAAATCAAATTCATTGACTGGAACTTTAGCTTGCTTGAGATAACGAAGAAAGCCTAATTCTTCTGGTCGTAGAATTAATAAAGCGTGCCCACTGCTACCTTCCCCACGTGCCGTTCTTCCAACACGGTGAATGTATTCCTACGTATAAATTAAAATGTTAGGTGTATCTCAGATTTGAAAGTATGTCATAAGGTAAACATATAATAATTACATACCTTAGGATCGTCGGGTGGATCGTATTGTACGATCCAATCAACATCGGGTATATCGAGACCTCTAGCAGCTACGTCTGTACATAAAAGTATACCGGAAGAAGCATTGCAAAATTGGAAAAATGTTGTTGTTCGTTTGGTTTGTTTTTGCTTGCCCTATAAGTATAAGAAATTTTTAAATTATTTTTTATCTAATTAAAATACTTTTGTATTAATATATTTAATGTTATACACATAACCGAATACTCACGTGTATACTTAATACAGGAAGATCAATGTAATTTAAAAGTTCATGATGATACTTGACAGACATACAGGAACTAAAGAATACCATAATTTTCTTCTTTCTATTTTTCTTTAAGAATGTGAACAACAATAAGAAACGTTTCTCACTAGGACAAACTACATAACCTTGTTCTAAACCTTCCACAGTTGCCTTCTCTTTTTCATCATCGACTCCAACATATATGGGCTCTTTTTTTAATGCTAAACTTGTCAATGCTTCTACCTTTTTAGTCTGAGTTGCACTGAACAACATTGTTTGCCTTCTTTCTGTAATACAATTTATTATTAATTTTTTGTATAATTTGTAGGATAATTTTGTTTATTATGATTGATGCTAACTTGGCAAGATGTTAATAATTTGTTTCAATTCCTCTTCAAAACCAATGTCTAAAATACGATCGGCTTCGTCGATAATAAGACATTGTAGATTTTTATATAAAAAGTCTGGAGTATTTTGTAGATGATCCAGCAATCTACCCGGCGTAGCAACAATTATGTTAATTCCTTTTGAGAGCTTTTGTGCTTCGGTTTGTCTATTAGCACCGCCCATTAATAAACCATACGTATGATAATGATATTTCATTAACTCTTTTAAAACACCAAACGTTTGCATTGATAATTCTCTAGTAGGAGAAATAATGATGCATCCAGTACCTAAATAAAAATATACATACACGTATACACAAGAAAAATGTAGACAAATGTATAAAATAATTTAATATAAATAATGCATACCATTGCGTGGCATAAATTTTAATTTAAAAATTAATTCAACTGCAGGTATTAAAAAAGCCAACGTTTTTCCTGATCCAGTTTTGGCAGCACCAATTAAATCTCTTCCTTCTAACAATGGTGGAATTGATTTTGCTTGTATTTCGGTCATATGCGTGAAACCCATATCTTGTATTCCTTTAAGAGTGTTTTCACAAACACGTTTACTTAATGTTTCAAAACTATTATTATTCAATACTTCCAATCCTAGAGAAGATCCAGGTACTAAAACGTTAAATAATTTAGTATTATTTCTTAAATGATAGTACAATTACCATAAAATCACTTCTAAACTTACAATTCTTATTCATGTCATCTGTAGTATTCTTCAATTGTATATTTTCATTCTCCTTACTTTTGGTGTCATTAGAGTCGTTGTCGGCCTTCTCGTCTACTTTTTGTTCATCCAAAATTTCAGATGTCTCTTGTTTTTTTTTCTTTTCTAATAATTAAATTTATTATTACTATTATATATATTCATAGAAAAGGGTTTATATAAATTACAATGTATCACTTACTCTTAGCTGGGCCATTTTGCATCATTGGACGTTTATCTCCAATTTTTTCTTCTGTAGTATCTTTATCAATATCATTTTCATGATCATCAAGTTCAACTTTACCTTTAATCAAAAGTAGCATAAAACATTAAAATTAAAATCTGTTCTTTCTCTCATCAAACTAGTCTTTTTTAAATTAGATTGTAAAATGAAGAAATATTTTATTGTGTATAGATAACCTATAAATTGTATTTACCATTTTGCTTAACGGATCTCTCCTTCAATACTTTCAATTTATTCTTTTCTCTTTTCACAATCTTTCTCATTAAAACTTTATCGGGAATAGACATTTTGTTTTTATTTTTCTTTAAGGAAAATAGAAATTAATTTTATTTACACAAGCCAAATACAATTTATTTTTTCGAAAATTGCCCACGTGCAATAACTAACACTAATAATATACCTATGAATACATGCATCATGAATACGAAGGCAATACTCGAAAGTGCTGCCATCATTTTTGATTTCATGAACTATTTTAACAAATGCATTGAAATATTTGATAGTAAGAAATTGGATATTTGAGTCACCTAAAAGCCAATGCAATCAGTAAAATATATAAAGTCTATTTTATATGGATGAAATATTTAAACAAATATGATATTTACATTAATGTATTATAATGTTTCATTGTATGCATTTGTAGGAGCAACGAAAAGTTTCTAACACCTAATAGCACAAGCAACGACAGCTTGCGGCAGCATTTAGAAGCATAGTCAATACCTCGCAAGGTTTGATGTCCAAGAGAATAATAACACGAGTCAATCAGTTGTCTTTATATATTATGCAAGTTATTAAAGCGTGCTATACAACCGCACACCAAAATCTGATTATATCTCCTTCCTAGAATTCAATACTACACAGTGGGTAAAGTCCACACATTTAAATACATATGTGGAAATGTTGCGAGTTGTATGTAATGAAGTGCGATATATAATTTACATCTTAAATTGATTTATAAAAACATATAATTTATATATGAATTATAGAAAAAGGAATTATATCAATTAATTATAATTATCCTATGTATTAATAGAATTGTCATTTGCTTTATTACACACAATGGAACAAGAACTAAAAGAAAAGAATTCACTTATTAGATTAGCTAATGAAAGTGCAATGGATCAAGAATCTAAAGTACGTTTATCTCTATTTTCTTAAATTAATGTTCCTTAAATGACATTTCTAAATTGTGTATTTAATTGTAGGAAACATTGATAAAAAAATTGCAAGCCAAGTCGCATGCTCTTTGTCTTTTAAATCAAGAACTCGATCAATGTAGAATACAAAAAGATAAATATAAATCTATGGCTGAAGAAGTATTAGAAAAATGTCTACATTTGCAAAAACAGCTAAACGATACGAAAGGATCAAATGGGTAATTTAATGACACGATTGCAAATCATATGTCAAATTGATATTTAAAACCAAACTTATTTATTTTTTAGTTACAACACAGATAACGACTTTAATACGTTGAATCTTCTATCAAAGTCAAGAGAACATAACAAATGTTTGATGTTACAAGTCGAAATATTGAAGCAAAAATTACGTGACGTCCAAGGTGATATTAAAATATTGCGAACGAATAACAATCGTAATAATAAAGAACAACAAGAAACACAATATACTTCCGCGATACATCAGAAAGAAGAAATGATTGAACAATTAGAAAAATTAAATATAAAGGTTACTATATATATACATGGTTCAATATTTTAAATTATTAATTTGGCTATTGTTAAATGGATTTGTTATTTTAGTGTTCACAATTACAAATAGATCTACAAACTGTTCTCGATGAAAAATATGAATTAGAAATGGAAAGAGATGCTTTTAAATGTAAAGCACATCGATTAAATCATGAACTGTCTAAAGCATTGAATGCATCTAAACCAATTGATGTGGATGCTCTTATTAATGAAAACAGGTAAATTTTAAATTGTTCAATGATAATCAGAACAAGTTCAAATAATTAAATATTATTTAATTATTTAGATATTTGCAAGAAAGATTACAACAATTAATTGAGGAAAAAGAACTTGCAAGACAATCTCTTTCAAAATATAAAGTGAGAATAAATTTTTTTATGAAATATTTCTACTCATTTGTAATAATAATATACAGAATTTATAATTATTTGTTATCAGAGTATGTTGGATAGTAAAAGAACCAAAGAGACCATTAAATTTGGTGTTAATCCTGCTGCTGGAATGGTGATGAAACACAAACAAGGTTTACTGTTTCATTTCGAAGTATTAGTACAGCTTATATTAGAAGTAAAATCTTTCAATAATTTAAGAATATAAATATTACAAGTTTATTCATAAAATGTGTTATAATTTTAGTCGAGGAGCTTTTACAGCAAACACGAAAATCTACTGTTGCGATAGAAGAATTACATTGTTTGTGTACTGCTCTGATGGAAGCATTGAACGATAAAACTTTAGCTTTAGCTCATCAGAAGAAGGCCAATAAGTAAGTTGGATATAAATTACTTTAAATATATTAAATTAATTATTGTGTAAATAACATATTTGTACAATGAATATATAGAATCTTGGCTTTGAGAATTTGTGAGTTAGACAGTATGATAGAGTCGCCAACAAAAACATTATTGGAAGGCTACACGAGTGCGGATGTTGACCAAAAGAGTAAGTGTTTGTGCAAATATTCTTATTAATAAATCATTTAAATTATTACGAATATTATTTCTCAGGTAATAGTCTTCGTAATGATCTAGACAACATATCTGAACGTACTACGGAAAATATCAATGAAAAATTGACTGATACAAAAGAAACAATTGTAGATAGTTCGTCTTCGGAAATACATTCAGTACATATTACGCAAATGAGTCTTCCTAAAAATTTAGAAAATTTAGTTCAAAAAGCACTTAATAATTTAAAAACCACTGACAAACTCGACAAATAAAAATTTGATATATTTTATGTGCAAAAATATTACGAGAATCTGAAAAATATCAAGATTAAGCAATAGGTTGTATTATTTTGTTTGATAAATGATAAATCAAATAATTTTAAAGTATAAATTATATAAAAAAGAAAATATGTATGAAAAACCAAAGAATATTTTTATCATCAAATATTTAATCGAAATATGTTATATAGTATTGTTAATAATTTTACCGTGTTAATTTATTATTTTATTATCAGATTGTATTATTATAGTTTAGCAAATGTATCACACGTATGTATTATAGACATAATTTAACTATAAGGAATTTGATTAATAAATTATAATATATATATAGATATATATTATATAAAAATATATGAATTACACATATATTATTATAAACAATTACCATATGCAATATCAGCTGCATTGCCATAATAAGCTGGTTGACAGTAAAAAGAATGTACGAGGTAGCGTCGTTCGCGTAAATATTTTTCATGCAAGACCCAATCTAATTGATTGAGCCAGGAATTAAATTTTGTATTAATGCCTTGCACTAAATGCGTACGTCCCAATTGTTGTTGTTGTTGTTGTTGTTGTTGTTGCTGCTGCTGCTGCTGCTGTTGTTGGTAGTAATAATAATTAGCATATTGATTCCTATAACGAGAATATTTTATATCAAACAGTGAAAGTATCTTCATTACGAACAAATAAAATAATAATAATTATTTATATCATACAAAATTTTTTGCTCTTTCGATTTAATATCTTTTCGTTTCTTCCATTCTTTGAAAACCTTATCATTTTCTATACGTTTCATTTCCATTTGTTCTTTATACGATTTTAGATTCGTTTGTTCAATCATTTGTAATTCTTTAGATATTTTTCGTCTCTGTTGCATCATCTGCTGTTTCTTTATATGGGCACACATCTATGTTTATTTATTTTCACAGAAATATAATTTGACAATTAGTAAATAAAACAAATTACAATATTTTATTGATAAAAATTTATTTTAAACCTGAGCTAGTCTTTTAGATTCCATTTCTGCTAATTTAGTTTGTAATTTCTGTTGTTTCTCCTTTTGTTCTTGTTTGATCATTTGCTTATATTTAATATTTTTTTGTTTCTTCCAATTCTCGAAAGCTAAGCAATTTTTATCTTCATATTTCCTTTAAAAATAAAATTATATTTTTTTTTATAATTATAAAATAATTAATTTAGTTAATTTAATTTGTTGATTAATCGAACATTTTATTATCTTGCGTTTTACGATTGATTTTAATCGGGTCACGCTTTGTTTTCTTGTTTGAGTCTGTTTTTTGTAGATTATTATTCCATACTTCGACTATATCTACTTTCATTTCTGTGTCATTGGGTAAAACGATATTTTTATTTTCATTTGCACAATTGTTTTCTAATTTTATCTAAAAAAAATAATTAAAATCGATATTTGAAATGAGATATTAACAAATATTCGTTTTACTAACTTACTTCTTTTATTGAAATTCGTGAATGAAATTTATTAAATCCCTTAATATTATTAAAAGTTAACGATCGAGTTTTTAAATGAATATTATCCTTTATAAAATAATTTGTAATATTTGTTAACGTAGAATCACTTTTTGATCGTATATTTTTGAAATATCGTTCAATATTAATTTTTTCTTTGCTTGCTTCATCTTTTATTTTTTTAATATTTTCAGTATAATTATTCATTTCAATTTTAGACGATTGCGAATTGAGTGTATATTTTGAATTAAATTTTGTACTTAATATAGCTGATGATAATGTATCCTAAAAATATTATCATTTTAATATAATAAATATAGTATAGAATTATATAATTAATTATGGGATAAAACCTTGTTAACATCTTCGACAAAATTTTCTATTTCTTTTGAATTTGAATTTATTAATTTAGACATCTTTTTGGAATACCATTCTTCGTAAATAACCCGATGTAATTTGGCGCTTTGTGCTAATATTTGAATTTGTATAAATAATATTAAATATTAAAAAGTATATTATTTTTTTTTATATTTATAATCATCCTTACCAGTATTTTCTGGGGCTCCATTGATCATTTGTTTAACGATGCTCCCTAAATCTTCGAATGAAACGCTTTTAATTTTGTTTCCGATAGACATAATTAAAATAAATTTTTGATTATAATATATAAATGTGTTTAAAAATATTCAATTTTATACATGATGATATAAATGTATAAAAAACACTAAAAATTTATTCATTTCACCGGAATAAATAGCATTTTACAAAACTTCAAATTTTGACATAAGCAATCATAATTTTGTGACACTAGAAAAATGACATGATTATCTAAATTTAAAGATGGCGATAGTAATGTATATACATTGTGACTTAAAAATATTGCTAAAAAAAATCATAGGTTTTGTTAATTACGGAAAAAAAACCGATGAAACACACAATATTCATCTAATAACAATAAATTAAAATAT